ATCTTTTGCCTTAAAAAAACTAAAAAATGGAAAATGAAACTCAAAAACAAGCATAAGGAAGAAAATAATAAAAATTAGAGTTTTAATAAGGACTAGTGAATAGAGAAAATTAATGAAACAAAAGTTGATTCTTCACAAAAAGATCAACAAAATTGACAAAGTTTTAGCTAGCTGACCAAGAAAAAATAAAATTCAAATTATTAACCAGGAATATAAGTACAGATATTACTAACAGAATTACCGAATTTACAGCAATAAATAGGAATGTAAGAGAATACTATGAGCAATTTGTATATCAACAGTTAAATAACCAAGATGAAATAAGCAAAATCCTAAAAACACAACCTATACTGACTCGAGAAGAAATAAAAAATCTGGTGGGAATGCAGACTGGTGCAGCCATTGTAGAAAGCAGTGTGGAATTTCCTCAAAAAGCTGAAAATGGAACTGCCCTTTGATCCAGTAATTCCCCTGCCGGGACTATACCCTAAGAATCCCAAAACGCCAATTCAGAAGAACCTATGCACCCCAATGTTCATAGCAGCACAATTTACAATAGCCAAGTGCTGGAAGCAGCCTAAATGCCCATCAGTAGATGATTGGATCAAAAAGTTATGGTACATTTACACAATGGAATACTATGCAGCAGAAAGAAAAAAAGAACTCCTAAACTTCGCGACAGCATGGATGGAACTGGAGAGCATTATGCTAAGCGAAATAAGCCAGGGGGCGAAAGACAAATACCATATGATCTCACCTATAAGTGGAACCTAACCAACAATACAAAGATGCCAGGAAAATAAGACCAGCCACACTGAAAGGAAAAGAAACCAACAGAGACAAGAGGCAAGGAGGGTGTGGAGGCAGGGGAAAGGGAAGGGAAGGGGAAAGTCAAGGAACATATAGCAAGGACTCATGGACAAAACCAAAGGGGAAGAGCTGAGGGAGGGAAGGAGGGAGGGGGCAAGGGAAAGTGGTGGGGGGTAGGCAGAGACAAATGTATTTGAAAAAAATTAATTAATTTTTTAAAAAAAGAAAATCTGAATAGAGCCATAGCCCATAAAGAGGTGGAGTTAGAAAGCAAAAATATTTCTACAAATAAGAGTCCAGGACCACATAGTTTCTGGTAGTGAATTCTACCACACATTTAAAGATTTAAAACTAATCATTCTTCAGCTCTTCCAAAATACAGAAAAGAGGAAACACTTCTTAACTCATTCTATAAAGCCAGTATTACCTTGTTACCAAAGCCAGACAAAGACATGGCATGAAAACTACAGACTAATAATATCCTTTCTACATGTTAATGTAAAAATACTCAACAAAGTACTAGTTAGCAACTTGTCAAGCAGCATATTAGAAAGGATTATACACCTTGGCCAACTAGCTTTTTTCTCAAGAATGCAGGGTTAGTTTGACATATAAAAAACAGTCAATAAAACATACCATATTAATAGAATGAAGAAAAAACAATGGTCATCTCAAAAGATGGGGAAAAAAGCATTTGAGATCATTTAACTCCTTTTCATGATAAAACACCCCCCAAAGGTAAGAATAAAAGGGAGTTTCCTCAAAATATAAAGGGAATGTGAAAAACTCACATATATTGTATCCTCATACTTAATGGTAAAAGACTGAAAGCTTTCCCCTTAAGATCAGACATCAGACAAAGATCTCTGCTCCTGCCTTCTTGCTTACATTTTACCGAAAATTTTAGCCAGGGCAATTCAGCAAGAAAAACTAACTAAATAAAAGGCAACCAGATTGGAAAGGAAGAAGGAAAATTATCTCTGTTCACAGAAAACATGACCTTATATATAAAAAATATTACAGAATCTAAACAAACAAAACTATACTTTTAGAACTAATAAATGAATTCAGCAAAAATGAAAGATACAGTATATAAAATTCAGTTTCATTTCCATACTCTAACAATTTACCATCCAAAAATTAATTAGGAAAACAATTTCATTTACAATAGTATCAAAAAATACTGTGTGATCAAGAAAGTCCAAGATTTATACACTGAAAAGTGTAAAACATTAAAAAATTAAACAAAACCTAAATAAATGTAAAGATGACTAATTTTCACAGACTGGAAAACTTGATATTATTAGAATGAAAATGCTTCCCAGTTAATGTGCATAGTCAATCAACCTCTATTGAAATTCCAAGCACCTTTTTTTCTTTTTGCAGAAATGGAAATGTTGATCCTAAAATTCATATGGAAATGCATGGAATCCAAAATAACCAAAGTTATTTGAAAAATAAAAAGTTGAAGTACTTACGTCTTTCAATTTCAAAATTTAAAACAAAGGTACACTAACTAAAACTATATGGTACTGGCATGAGAATAAACATATAGATCAATAGAACAGAATTAATATTGCGGAAATAAACTTTTATATCTATTATCATTTAATTTTTGACAACAGTGCCAAGACTATTCATTGGAGAAACAACAGTCTTTTCAACAAGGGATAACTGGTTAGCCACATGCAGAAGAATGAACTTGCACCCCTACGTAATATATTAAAAGTAACTCAAAATGGAACCAAGACATAAATATAAAAATTAAAACTATAAAATTCTTAGGAGAAAACATGGGTTTAAATCTTTATGATCTTGGATTTGACAAAGTATTCTTAGATATGACAACAAAAACATGATCAACAAAATTAATAAGTTATATTTTTTTCATAATTAAAAACCTTTGTGCATCAAAGTACAAACTAAAAAACAGAAACGACAATCTACAGAATGGAAAAAATACTTTCAAATTATAATGGACTTGTATCTACACTATCTGAAGAACTTTTACAACATAATAAAAATACGCATAACCCAAGCAAAAATGTGAAATGATCTGGGTACACAGTTCTCTAATGAAGGAATACAAATGGCCAATATGCACATGAAAAGATGTTCAACATCATTAGCCATCAGGGAAATATAAATCAAAGCCACAATAAGATACCCCTTCATACTTATTAGGTTGTTAGAATAAGTAAATTCAGATAATAAGGTATTTGGAGAAAGTTGAATCTTCATACACTGATGGTACAAATGTAAAACTGGGCAGGCACTTTGGAAAACAGTGGAAATTCCTTGGATGATTCAACATAGGGTAGCCATATGACCCAGCATATACCCAAAGGAGTGGAAAACATATATCCACACTGTAACTCATATATGAATGTTAATAACAGCATTGTTTACAGTAGCTAAAAGGTATAACCAACCTAAATGTCCATAAATGGATAAATATTATGTGGTATATTCATATAACGGAATATTATTCAGCCATAAAAAAGTGCTGATACACACTGTAAGTTCAGTTGGTGAACCATAAAAATATGCTAAGTAAAATAAGTCAGCCACAAAAACCCATGTATTATATTATTTTGATTCATTAAAAGTCCAGAATAGGGAACCCTATAGAGATAGAAAGTAGATTAATTACTGCTGAGGGCTGGTGGGTGGAAATGGGGTGGGTGGGGTTAGGGAGATGATAGGCAAAGGACATTTCTTTTTCTAAAATAATAAAATATTCCGGATTGTGTTACTGGCTGCGCATATCTGTAAATGTACTAAAATCACTGAATTGTATAATTTAAATGGGTGAATTGTATATGTGGGTTATATCTCAATAAAGTTATTTTTAAAAGAAGGATAAAATCAAATTTAGAAAAGGGATAAATGAAGTAACTATATATGCTACAATATGATAAACCTTGAAAACATTATACTAAGTGAAAGGTGTCAGACACAAAAGGCCATTTATTGTATGATTCCATTTATATGATATGTCAAGAATGGTAAATTCAGAGACAGAAAGTAGATTAATGTTTTTCAGAGACTGTAGGGAGGGAGTGAGTGCTTAACCGGCTGGGGGTTTCTTTTTGGAATGATGAAAATATTATGGAATTAGATAGTGGTGATGATTGCATGACATTGTGAATATACTCAAACTAATGAATTCTATATTTTACAATAGTTAAAATGGTAAATTTTCTATTGTGTGAATTTTTCTCAAAACAAATACTTTTTTCATATAAATGTGTTGGTTCTCCTTGATCTGAAGTCACTTTGCCTGTAACTGATGAGGGAGCACAGCCATTTATCACGATTGCGATAAATCAGCCAGCACCCCCCCCACCCCGCCACTGTCTGGGCTTTCACCACTCCGTTCCCTGAATGACATTTCCCTTCCTTTCTACCTTTGAAATGTGATCCATCCTTCAACATGCAGCTCAAATGCTATTTCCTTCATAAAGTTGCTCACAATTTCCCATGTTGGAGCACATCTTTCTCTTCTGTATGGCCCTCGCGCATTGTGTGCGCAGCTGATGTTGCACTTAATGCATAATTGTAACTCTTGTACACACTTGTCTCCCACATTAGGTTTAATTCCTTTAAGGGCAAATAAGTTGGAAATCTTCCTCAAGGTCAATTGCTATGCCTGACACTCGTAGTCACCCTCAAATGAAATTAAAGCAATAAAAGTAACTCTTCTGAAACCTGTTTCAGCTACACACCTCCACACAAACAACTGTTACTGTGATATTCTTCAGAATGCAATGAATTTACACAAAACAACTTGAGAATAAGAGTTTTTCACTATCCAATCATTAAAGAAATTTCTTTATCTACTTATTAGATATACTGAATATTGGGATCTTAAATCTAATTCACAGGGACTAAAACATCACCTTTTAGCTTTTGTGAGAACCATTCTATACTTAAGTACTTAACAGAGTAAAACAGTAAATAGTCTTCATGACAGAGATATTTCAAGAACCTCAACCAAAAAGCACAACAAAATAAAAAGACCATGGTACTCAGCCATGGACACAATTTCCAGAATGTTTAGTCGCAAGACTGACACTTTGTGAGAATATACAATGTTTGGCTCTCAGTTACAAGCTGCTTTGTGCCTTCCTCGGAGAAATAAAAACCTGGGTAGTAGCACTATTTGCACTCTTATTTATTGTTATTACCTCTCGTTCTATGGTTTTCCTCCTCAGCAACTTTTTGACACTTGGGAGCTGCTTCTTTAATAACATGGTGGCTTCATTCATTTTTCTGACTTGAGTGATTAAGAAAGATGGGACCTGGAGAATAAAAATCGCTTGACTAGAAGGAAAACACCGGAATTAAACCTCCCGGGTAGATTCTGTCTTTAGTTATGGTAACTCTTGGCCACTCAGTACCCTGGAACTGTGGCATTTGTCCTTGTAAAAATTAGAAAAAAACTATTAGGATTCATATTTAATAGAGAGAACATATTCAGGAGCAGCCCTTAAAGAGTATATAAACATGCCACAGGTAACCTGGGATTATATTCTCATATTTCCTCCCTGTGACTGAGAGCATTGCTGGCTCATGGAGCCTTTACATTTCCTGGGTGCTGGTAGACTCCAAAGGAGTACATCAGTCACACTGTTACTCACCTTCCACAGTATTTTCTGGTAGTTAAGCATTAAGCGGATGATGTGGGCTGCAGTGTTTGCTAACCGTAATTCTTCATAATCAGAATGTTTGCTTCTACTGAAGAAAAGGTTTGGTGCCATTACAGTTGAAATGTTCCATATACTCATTCGGTTTTTGGATTCATTGGCAATCACTTTATTAAAGAATGTCATGAGGGCCTAAAAAGAAAGAGCACTATGTCACACTACTGTAAGTTATCAAAATGCATCACTGATTGCTGCCACTTATTTCTACACCCATTTACTGTGTCCCTGGGAAATAGCCAGAATATTGTCAGAGCATAGAATGGTTAAACGTCATATTCCCCTTTACTTGCTTAAAAGTGCTAATGAGAAATGTAAACAGTTGTTATGGAGTTTATTATATTGAAGTTTCTATGAAAAATAGTTTGCCTTATTCTCTTTTATCTTAAAAAAGTTTGACAAATGTTAAAATTAAATAGTAAGCTAGGAAAAGAAAATGCATCTCAAAAAAAATGTAATGTATTTTCATTGTGAACAAAGTAATTCTAGAAAACACCCTTATTTAAAGTATTACTATTAAAAACTATGTAATGTTTTCTTGTGAAAGGAAAACCCATTTCTTAAATAAATTATCTCATCCCTCAGCCCTAATGTAAACACAGGTGAAAAAATTTTTAATTTTACTTTTTGGGTATCATTTTTCTGTTGCTTTTCCATTTTGGAATCTTCAGTAGACCAAAGAAAAATGCTTACGTGCAGCTGTTAGCAATGTCAAAAAAAAAAAAAAAGATTTGAAAAAAGTTAGTAAAAGTTTGGCTAAGCCACCAAAGTGTAAGTGTTCATTAGACCTTCTGAAATTCACCAAGAGGACCAAAATCCTAAAAGGAGATTCCTCAAGTTTGAATTCTGTTATAGTATTTGTAATGGGAAAACAGCACACTATACTAATAATAGTTAGCATTTATTTGAGGGCCTATTGTGAGCCAGGTATTATTCTTAGTACTTCATATATATCCACTGACTTTATCATTATTCCAAATCCTGTGAGGTAGGTACTATTATTAAGTTGTACAGATGAGAAACTAAGGTGGAGAAGGACAGAGAGCTTTGTCAATCATCAGCTCATTAAGTGGCAGAGCCAGGATTTGAACCGAGGAAACTGGATTCTTGAGCCAGAGCCTTGATCTCTGTACCACACCAACTTTTCTTAGTTCCAGTTAAAAGTTAGAATAGGAGGGAGGGAGGGAAAGAAGGAAGAAGGGATAGAGGGGGAGAGAGAGAGAAAGATAGAGATTTTTCTCAAGTCTCATAATGTTTTTTGAGGATTTCCTGTTAGAAATGTATTGGATTTTTTGATAATTGCTGCATCATCAGTTATATAAAAGGGTATATAACATTTTGACCCAGATATCTGCTGCCAGATGCATTTTTTTTGGATAAAAGATCATTGTTTAGACAAAGCCAAAAAGAAACTAATAAATTCCAGTTTTTGAAAAACTACCAAATTGTACTGGCTATGTATTCCATAGCCACTGCCCTCCCCCATGTCTGGATTGAGGATATAATATAATTGACATATGGTATAATTAACACAGTTGCTTTTACTATGTAGGAGAAAAGGTCCTCATCCAACTGAAATGTCTGATAAGAGGTAGCATTAAGAATCATATTTGTTTTTAGCATTATTTTTACTGGCCTCAAAGTTATTGGCTCCTTGTAACTCATCCTTACTTCATTTCAAAGATTCTCCACACCTGTTGTGCTTATAACAAATCTCCTGTGGTATATAGAAGCACTATGAAAATAGCAAGATAAACTTTGATTTTTACCAATTCACAGTAAAGAAATGAATATGAAATAAAGGGAAGGCTATTTGGGATGAAGAATCATGGAATAGGATTCTACCAAATGTTCTCTTATATGTTAAAGGAGAAATTATTTTTCTGAGCTTAATTTTCCTAATCGGTAAAGTGAAAAGATCCTATTAGGTAATCTCTAAAATTCAGAGATTGTAGGACTCTTTAAATTGAACTGAATTCATAAATTATAAGGCACAAAGATTTTTAAAAATTTATTTATATCAGTGATTTCAAATTTTCTCCCTAAGGACACTCATCAGATCTTTGCCACTAGACTGAAGTGGGCAGCTAAGGACCAAAATTACAGAGTTTTATATTTACAACTTACATAATGTTCTCACATTATTCTGACATTATTCCATTTAAGTTCTCCATCTTTGCTCTTTCCTACTCCTAACCCTAGCCTAGTGCCTGGCATGGGGTAGATACTGAGTATCTCTTAATAGATTGAATGAATGAAACTGAAATGTTTACGTAAGACTCAAGGATTTACATTCTTTCCTGCTTCCTCAGGAGAACAGCAATGGGAACATGGAAAGGAAACAGGTTTGCAGCATGCTCAGCTGGCTTAGTAAATTGTCTTGTTTTTCACTTTTTCCTTTCACTTGTTTTTCACCTGAGCCATCTCCTCTGACCAGTAAGAGCCAATGACAAACCATGAGGTCAATACAAACATACCTGGGCTGTGTCCCTGTTGGCATCAGGCAGTGCCATGACCATGAGGTGTAAAGCTTGAAACTGTACTTTGATGTGAGGCCCTCCTAGCAAGAAAACAGAAATAACCACACGTTTGGAACAGCACTGATGTGTTCTGACAGCATTTCTTGCTAATATCTGTGGCATAGGAGGGCTCCTGACAGCTCTCAGTGGTAAGGACTCAGTTTTTTTGCCCAACGATGTAAATTTGTTTGCCTGGACAGTCTATCAACTCCACATTCACATCCCATGACGCCATTGTAGAGGCAGGTGGCCAAGAAGATCCTCAAAATAATTCTGGATTTGTATAACATTTCCCTTTTCAAAGTACTTTTACAGACCTTTACCTTTATGCTATAAACAGAAGGCTTGAAGCTCAATTCAAGGGAAAATAAATCTTTCTTCCACATAAAGCAGCAGCAAAGTATAATTATTAGGAGCATAGGTTCTATAACCAGATTCAAATCCTGCATGTACTACTTAGCCACTGACTGACCTTGGGCAGGCTATTTAATCCCTTGTGGTTTCTATTTTATCTTTTGCAAAATGGAATTAGTCATTTTACCTACCTCGCTGGGCTATTATAACAATTAAATGACTCAAAACTTAACAATGGATTAAAAATTTGTATGTTAGACCTGGAACCATAAAACTCCTAGAAGAAAACATGGCAGTAATGTCCTTGACAAAAGTGTTAGTGAAGAATTTTTTTAATCTGACGCCACAAGCGAAAGAAACAAGAAGAAAAATTAACAAGCAGGACTATATCAAACTAAAAAGCATCTGCACAGGAAAGAATACCATCAGCACAATGATAGGCAGCTTGCTGAATGCAAGAAAGATTTGCAAATCATGTATCTGATAAGAGGCTAATATCCAAAACATGTAAATAACTTATACAGCTGGATAGCAAAAACCCCCCAAACAATCTGATTTAAAAATGCGCAGAAGAACAGACACCTGAACATTTTTCCAAAGAAGATATAGAGGTGGCCAACCGATACATGAAAAGATTCTTATCATCATTAATCATCAGGGAAATGCAAATCAAAACCACAATGAAATATTACCTCATACCTGTTAGAATGGATATTATAAAAAAGACAAGAAATAACTAGGGTTGGCAGGGACGTGGAAAAAAGGAACCCTCATACGCTGCTGGTGGGAATGTAATGGGTACAGCCACTATGGAAAACAGTAAGGAGGTGCCTCAAAAATATAAAACTAAATTTACCATATGATCCAGCAATTACAATTTTGGGTGTTTATCTAAAGAAAATGAAACATTAACTCAAAAAGACGTAAGTACCTGAGTGTTTACTGAAGCATTATTTATAATAGCTAAGATATAGAAACACTTAAGTGTCCATTTATGGATGAATGAAAAAAGAAAATGTGCTATCCATACACACAAACACACAATAGAATATCATTCAGCCATAAAAAATAAAATCTTGCCATTTGTAATAACATGGATAGACTTTGAGAGCATTATGCTAAGTGAAACAAGTCAAATAAAGAAAGACTAATACCATCTGATCTCTCTTATCTGTGGAATCTAAATATAAAAAATACACCAAACCTCCCACCTTCAAAACCCCACAACCAAGTTCATAGATACAGAGGACAGATTTCACACACACACACACACACACACACACACACACACACACACACACACACACACACACCCCCCCCCCCACCATTACTGAAACCTAATTAAGGCTTTGTGATTTGGGCAATTATATAAAATCCATTTGTAAATGTTCAAATTATCCTTGAAGTGGAGTGTGAATTATGCCCTACCTTTATAGTTTTTCCTAGGTTGTAATGATTATAGAAATGGCAAGATTTGGTCACATGTTAAGTCTTTCAGGGGATACTTCCCACCAATAATTTGGCAAAGTTTAGACCAATTTGCCTTTGCCTTTGTGTCTGGACATTCACTTGGGTGCTACTCAGTAAACACTTTGGGAGTGGTCTAAATCCATTGCTGGGTGAGAAGCAGTGCTAAGACATCTTTTTCTTTTTCTTATGTAGGGATGGATTGTTTTATTTGAATTAGTACTTTTCACTCAAATATGGATTCATGAAATCAGAGAAGACACCTTTTAACACCAGGGCTAACAAAATCAATGAAACGTGCTTGGATGGAGTAAACCCCTTTAGCTTCAGAAATGTGGGCTTTATTTCATAACTAAGATTTCCTTCATATGTTGGACTGCCTCTAAAGCTCATCTGTTTCTTCTTCATGTAGAGGTACCTCAGGAACCTAGAAAATCTTTGTTTTCATGTCATGCCTATAGTGGTGCATGGGACACAATGCCTGCATCCCCACTTCAGGACCAAAGGACCTAGTCCCTCAGCTGTCAGCTCTTCCTAGGAATTGCTCCCTCCAGTTGTTTTGCCTAAGGTCATGCTGTCCTCTCAGGTGCAGTATACATCTGGTGATGGCCTATTTCACAGTAAAAATGCTCAATTTTCTCACTGTAATGGGAAACTATTCTGAAAGGCCACCCAAGCTTCAGAGCTCCCCACAGGGTTGTGTGAGGTCTTGGCTGAGGCTGCATCGCTGCCCAACTTTATCCTCTGCCCATTCTGCTTTCTTTTCCCTTCCCTTTCAGAAGTGTGGAACCCAAGTGTATGCCCTAATGAATGTTCTAAGCAAACTAATCTTGGTCTTAGATGCTGTTTCTGGGGGACCCAACAAAGCTTTAATCATGAGCAACTTCTAAGGCATATTATCTGCAAAGATGGTAACTTAAAACTTCAAATGAGGTAGCTCCTGTAAACAGAGTGCCTGGCATTAAAAAGAGAAACTCACAAAGATTAAATGAGTTACTATGTGCAGAATGTTCCTACCTGTTCATGTAAGCAGTTATCTCTATGTGTGTTTGCTCTTGTTATGATTAATGTCACATTCTAGATCTTAAATGGACATTTGGGGAAGGTGATCCTAGCTGGCTCTCTGGATATTGTTGATATTTTATTCCTTGACAATGACAGAAGATGGCGCCAGAGGGTTGGCATTTCTACTTGTGTTCTCAACGCTGGCTCTTTTCCCTTGTCAGGGAAGGGATTTCAGCAGTTCCATTAACAACTGGATAATCCACAACCATCTGTGCTGAAAAATGTATTTACTATAGCATCCAGGTTTTGCTTTGTCTCTGTAGTTTCCTCAAAATGGTCTCTTAGTGGGGAGTTCCTGGGGGAAGCATTATGTTCTAGAATCCCTGGGGAGTTTGCAGGTTGAAGAAAAATCTTTCTTTTTATATTCAATGGATGAAAGGCGGTCAGCTGCCTATAAAATTTCTGAGCTTTACAGGGCTGGAAATACTCCTGTGACAAGCTACTTGTTATAGGAGGTTATGTGCACTTGAGTTAGGAGTAGATGACTAACGTGTATAACCATGGAATAAACCAACAGTTAGAAGGAGTATTTATAGGATTGCATTATATTGTCTCAGCACAATCCCCATGTAGATTTCTAAAAATTTATGCCAAATTTGTAAACAAAAATGACACAGGTCCAGGTTATTTTTTAAAATAGCTAATGCATGTTGACAGGAGCTTTGACTGAATAACAACCTAACGGGAGCACATCTCAGTACAAGTATTTAGGGACAAAGAAAGCATTATTTTTCTGAGTAAACTGCAGGCTAAGGGCTGTCTGTAATCATCCAATACAATACCCCCCCCCCAAAAAAAGAGAAAAAAAAACACCTCTGTTGGGGGGAGATAACAAATGCAGATGCAGACTCTGTATTTCCATCAATTTCAGAAAAAAAAAAAGTTTCTGTTAAAATTAAATATCTAAACTGGCAAAGAGTCATTTTTATTTTATTTAGGAAACCTGGCCCTACAGTGTTTTTGTGGCTGAGTTTTTTCATTTATTGCATCCTAGTTAAGTCTTTTTTGTCCTGAGGTCATTTTTTCCTCAGAAAGTTATTAAACTTTTCATGAAAATATCTAAGGTTTGATTGATAAAATATTAGTCGTTTAATATTATGGGCAATTTTTGGACCAAGTCTGAAAAGAGAAATGGTTACATTAGTGGAAATGACTGTATATCTTCCAAATTCTGTTCCAGAGTATAAAGAAGGGCAGTTTAAACACACTTATCCACACATCCACAATTTTTCACTTTGGAAAATCTCTTACAACTAGAGGTTATTCTAAGTGTTAAAAAGGCTATTTTCCCTGCTGGTAGCAGCCCTGAACTTGGGGTTTCCTGTGGGGTTGGCTGGTTTCAAATCAGTCAATGCAATATAGTATTTCTCACTTTCAAAGTCATACAATGAAATGTGGACTCCTCAGTGAGCCTTTTCAGGATATTTCCCAGATCCTCTCCCTTAAATGAAGTGTACTGACTGCAGTAGGAGAGGGAACAATAAAGCTGAGCGGTGGCCACCTCTTTGGGGTATTTGTCCTCTCGATCTGTCCACAGCCCCTGAAATCACCATATACTTAACAAGCTTGTACACCAGGTCCTGGAATAACATCATCTCATTCAACATTGTTTCCTTATAGCATTGATGACATGCTCTAGGAACTTAACTCTTATTTAATATCAATTAGCCTATGGTAAAATTGGTTTCCTTATAAGTGCTTCGCTTAAAGTTGCAGAATCTATCAACGACATACTTAGATCTGCGATCCCTGAGTTCCTCAGGTTAGAAGTGAGCGCCTCCGCAACCTAGCTCCATTCTCTCTCTCATCACACCCTCCATGTTTCTCTTTCCTAAATTTCTCTCTTGTCACACCCTCCAAAACAGTCCACCTTTAGGTTGAACCATGACAAATTACTCCCTCACTGCTAAACACAATATACTTTCCATTACTATACTTTTTACCAAAATACATCATTTAAGGCCTAATGTATGTGACTTTGTAATTTTCAGAAATATTATTTGATATTATAATTTTCAGAGACAAAAACATCACCTGTGTAACATTTAATACATTCTACATCATCAGCGCAGGACTTCAGGTTTAAAGAAAACAGAGGCCTTACATTTTTTTCAAGGATTATTATACACCAGACACTATTCTAGATGCTCTCACTTAATAGCCACAATTCTGACACATAACTACTAACTGTAATTTATAGGCACAGCAATGGAGCTAAGAAAGGTTCACTGCATGGCTAACAGATGGTTGAGCAGGAATTTAAGTCTCAAGAGTCTATTCTTTCTGCAAACCCCTCTGCCTTTTAATGATTATTAAACCCTTTAAATTATATCCATCAGACTTAGATATATAAATATGTAAAGAGATGACTGTTTACCATCAAACACAATATTTCACCAAGCCTTGCCAGGAAAGAGCAAATATACACTTCTGATTACATTTGATTATGCATCTCTCTTCTTACTCTATGTCAGCTTATTGACCTTATATCTTAGTCCATTAACACTTAACATCTTCCACCTACTTTCCATTAGAGTGATGAAGGCGGGTATATATTCCACAGGGAAGAGAGAAGTGGGTAATTCTCTGAAAAAGGCTTTCAACATCACTGCAGCTTCTCTGTGGCACATTTTGTCCCATTTAAATTTGTCAGCATTAAACTTGGCATCCAGTTCTTCACGGTATTGCTGAAAAATAGGAAAAACAGACAATATTTAATGAGCTTCACCTTTTAAAACCGTCATTACACAAACTATTAAAAAGCCAATCTCTTCTAAGCCTAACTTTTTAAAAAAATGATTAAAGAGTTAAAGTAGTTATTTTTTGATTAATTTTAAAAACGGGTTTTCTAAAATCTTTTTAGAACAATGCTAATCTTGAAATCATTTGCTAATTCTACACAAATATGAATTCTTTACTCAGGTCATATTTTATTTATGTAGTTTTGACAGAATGCCACCTATTCCCACATGATAATGCACTGTCAGATTTTGACAAGCTTCCATTTCTCTGTTACCCATGATCCCTTCCTTTTGTCATCTTGGTCATCTCTTTCTAAATGAGATCATGACTGTATGCCTCTCAGCTATTTCATATCCAGAATGAGAAATATCCCAATAAAGAAACTCTGATCTCATTGCAATATGCAAACCAATGACATCTCCCTGGAGCAGCTACGGCAAAGTTGTGTGCCAAGACATACACATGTCCTCCACATGTTTGCAGGCTTGTCCAATCCTTCATAAGGCTTGGAATACTGCATAAATACTTTTTAAAAACCACTAAGCCTCCATAAGTTCTATTTGTGTTATACACTTTATATTATCAATTCATTTGAATGTCAGTGCCACCTCTTATCCATGTTACTTTTTCAAAGTCAAACTCACTTTCTCCTGCTCCCCTGAACTACAGATTCTACTATTAATAGCAGGTAGTTATAGTCAGTTACTTGATTGACCCTGACTGCTCCAAAAAAAATACTTAGAAAGATAACTTGTAAAACTCCCAATTTCTCTAAGTCTCCTGCTTTATTCCCATGAGAAGCCTAATTCTTCCAGCCTTAAACATGCATAATTTTCACATCTGACTCTTTCCTTTTAAGGAGCAGCTCATTAACCATCCCAGAAATAAACACTCTCACGGATCCCAAAGCCTGCAAAACAGGGGTGCCCCGGCAGGACACGTCTTTTATAGAGAGACAGACATGATTTCAAGCCATCCTTTGATGACATCAAAAAGTTATTCTTCTTGCACTAGCCGGTGTGGCTCAGTGGATTGGGTGCTGGCCTGTGATCCAAAGGATTGCTGGTTCAATTCCCAGCCAGGGCACATGCCTGGGTTGCAGGCCAGGTCCCCAGTGGGGCGGGGGGGGCATGCAAGAGGCAACCACACATTGATGTTTCTCTCCCTCTCTTTCTCCCCACCTTCCTCTCTCTCTTAAAATAAACAAATAAAATCTTTTTAAAAATGTAGTAAAAAAGATTATTCTTCTTGTCCTAAAAAATGTAGTAAAAAAGGTTATTTTTCTTGTCCTTTACTACATCTTTTAAAAAACGTAAAAAAGGTTATTCTTCTTGTCCTTAGTACTGGTTAAGGAGCTGGCTAGAGGCAAGGATATAAGTTATTGGACCGGGGCACCATTTCTAGTGATTGATAATCAAAGACTAACCTGCATAAGCAGCTATAAGAAAGGAAGAATTAAAAAATGTCATTGAGGGAAAATTCTCAAAACTAAGTGATGACTACGGAGCTACCCTCAAGGAACATAGGTAAAGGATTCCATCTTGGTACACCCCCTTTATCTTGCTCCAGGTCATTGGTATCTCACAGAAAAGAGCTTATATACTCATCAAGAGCCCCAATGAATGCAACTGATGAAAAGTGAATACTGCCAGATCACCTGGCCAGCAGGTCTTGAGCCTGCAGTCCCGAAGGATATATTTGCATATTTTAAAAAGCTGCTACCTGAAGGTCTGGCTTTCAAACAGCCTGAATCTAGGTGCTGAGGTCCTACCCTTAGGGACACTGGCAGGTCCTCAACAACTTGGAGCTGTTAAAAATATAGTAAGCTGTTTGGACAAGTACAAAGATTTGAGAGAAGACAAAGAGCTGGGGCAATGTTGAATGGCATGGTTCAATCCCTACACAAGGCCGCTCACTCCTTCAAGACTGGGAGAGGTGGTTGCTTCATCTACTTTATAAAAATCAGGACAGAGACATAAGCAAAATGAAGAAACAAAGGCATATGTTCCAAATAAAGGAATAAGATAAAACCTCAGAAAAAACATTAACAAACAGAAATATGTAATTTACCTGATAAAGAGTTGAAAGTAATGGTCATAAATATGCTCACCAATCCGGGGTTGGGGCGGGGGGGAGAATGGATAAACACAGTAAGAATTCAAAAAAGAGATGGAAAATATAACAAGGTACCAAATATTAATAGAAGTCACAGAGCTGAATACAATAATTGAACAGAAAAATACATTTAAGGGGTTCAACAACAGACAACTGAAGCAGATTAGAGATTAGTCAAATTAAACACAAGACAGTGGAATTCACCTAATAAGGGCATCAAAAGGAAAAAAAAAGACTCTAAAAAATGTGAAGATAACTTAGGGCTTCTTGGGACAACACGAAACAACTAACATTTGCATGGCAGAGGTCCCAGTAGGAGAAAAGAGAGAAAAGGGGAGAAAACTTGTTTGAAGAAAAATGGCTAAAAATGTCCCTAACTGATGAAGGAAATAGATTTCCAGGTCCAGGAAGCCCAGAAAGTTCCAAATAAGATAAATCCTTAGTCTTAGACCCAGACTAAGACATATTATAATTAAAATGTCAAAATTTAAAGACAAGGAGAGAATATTAAAAGCAGCAAAAGAAAATCTGTTACATACAAGGGAACCATAATAAGACTTTTAGCAGATTTTTCAGTAGAAACTTTGCAGGCCAGAATGGAGTGGCATGATATATTCAATGCACTAAGAAAAAAAAACTGCAACCAAGAATACTTTACCCTGCAAAGTTATCATTCAGAACTGAAAGAGGAACAGAGTTTGCCAAACAAGCAAAAGCTAAAGGGGCTCATCACCACCAAATTGGCCTAATAATAAAGATTAAAGAGACTTTTTTAAGCTAAAAAGAAAGTGCACTAATTAATCACAATAAAATTTATGAAATTATAAATCTCACTGGAAAGGTAAATATATAGTAAATGTAACAAACTAATCACTTATAAAGGTGGTATAAAGGTTAAAAGACAAAAATCATAAAAAAACTATGATTGCAATAATTTGCTAAGAGATACACAAGATAAAAAATGTAAAATATGACATCAAAAACATACAACATGGGTGGGGGAGAGTAAAAATGCTGAGCTTTAGAATGGAATCAAATTTAAGTTGTTGTCAACTTAAAATAGACTGTTATAGACATAAATTGTTAAATCTAAGCACAACAGTAACCACAAAGCAAAAACCCATAGTAAATATGCAAAAGACAGAGAAAGAAATGTAAGTACACCACTAAAAAACTCATCAAACCGCAGAGAGAAAGAGAAAGAAACAGAGAGAAACTACAAAACACTCAGTAAACAACAAAATGGCAGTAAGTATATATATACCTATCGATAATTACTTTAAAAATGTAAATGGACAAAATTCTCCAACCAAAAGACATAGAATGGTTGAATGGAGAAAAAAACTAAATCCATCTATATGCTGCCCATAAAAGATGTACTTTGGATGTTAGAACACAAAGAAACTGACAGTGAATAAATATAAAAAGACAGTTCATGCAAATGGAAATCAAAAGAAAGTTGGAGTAGCTACACTTACATCAGACAAAGTGGACTTTAAAACCGAGACTATACTAAGAGAAAAAGATGGGCTTAATAATGATAAAGGGGACAATGCAATAATAGGATATAACATTTGTAAATATTTATGCATTAAACATAGGTGCTCCTAAATATATAAAGCAAGTGTTAACAGATCTAAAGAAATAGACAACAATACACTAATAGTGGGGAATTTTAATATCCTACTTACATCAGTGGATATATCATTCAGACAGAAAATCAATAAGAAAATATTGGCCTTATATGACAACATTAGATTAGATGGACTTAATAATATACAGGCATATGAGGTCTGTCCAGAAAAAGTCCAGCCACTGTTAATATAATGAGAACAGTCTGCACAACCTTGATGTAACCTGGCAGCCAAGGAGAGTAGATGGGAATGCACATGCATGAATAATGACAATGACACTGTCCTAGTCAGTGGGAACAGTAGACACTGTTGAGTGAGCATGTGTACTATGTAGCTTTTACATTCAAAATGACTGAGCGAGTACAGCAATGATTCTGCATCACATTTTACACTAATCATGAACATTCCTCCACAGAAACCATTTGAATGATTCAGAAGGCTGCAGCTATGGACAACTGGTGATCTGCAGCTTCATCACAACAATGCACCCTCTGATGCATCATGTCTTGTGCAGAGTTTTTTAGTGAAATGTCAAATCACCCAGGTGACTCAGTCCCCCTACAGCCCAGATTTGGCATGCTGGGACTTCTGGCTTTTCCTAAACTAAAATCACTTTTGAAAGGGAAGAGATTTCAGACTGTCAATGAGATTTAGGAAACTATGATGGGGCAGCTAATGGCAACTGGGAGAACTGTGTGAGGTCCCAAGGTGCATACTTAAAGGGGACTGAGGCATCATTGCCCTATATACAATGTTTCTTGTATCTTCTTCAGTAAATGTCTCTATTTTTCATAGTATGTGGCTGGATACTTTGTGGACAGGTACCCATTCAAAAATTCCATCCAAAAGCAACAGCATACTCATTCTGCTTCAGTGCAGATCAAACATTTTCCAGGATAGATATGTTAGACCACAATGCCATGAAACTAGACCATAATGGCATGAAACTAAAAATAATTACACAAAAAACTGAAAAATTGACAAATGTATAGAGATTAAAAAATGTGCTATTGATCAACTAATGGGTCAAAATAGAAATCAGAAGAGAAATTTTTAAAAACCTTCAAGGCAAACAAAAAAGGAAACATAACATACCAAACTGTGGGATGCAGCAAAAGCAGTTAGGAGGGAAGTTCATAATGATTAAATGCTTACCTTAAAAAACCAAACAAACAAAAATCTCAAACAACCTAACT